AACTTGAGTGGTAGACAAAATATAAGGGTTTGGTAATTTTAAGGTGACATCATTGATTTTCATTGCCCTCATTCATGTTTTTACAGCATGTATTAGACCTGCAAATTTTAAGAAATTGAGACTTACATTTGGAAACATATCACAAAAATGGTAAAAGAAACCATTCTCATCTATAAGGTCATATATAAATCTAATATTCAGGTCATACATATTTTTAATATAAATAACTTTCCCATCAATGACAATTTTAGTTTTATAAAAAAACAAGAGGCCCATGGGCCTTGAATCGCTCTTCTGATAAACTGTACAACCTATCACTTCTATTTGAAGCCTCAAAGTATCCTGTATATTTACATAAACCCTTGAAATTCCAATTCACACTCTGAGAACCCAAGATGATTCTAAGCCAATTAGTACCTGAGAGTTGGTCATGGTGACCTACTTATCACTTGTCATTCTCTGAGGACCCATCAACTAAGTTTGATGATTCTAAGCCAATTAATACCTAAAATATTTTTAAAAATTATAATCATAAAATTTTATAAGTAGGTCAAAGTGACCTACTTTTCAATTGTTTTACTCCAAGGACCCAAGATGCATCAACTGACAAAGTTTGATGATTCTAAGCCAATTAGTACCTGTAATATTTAATTAAAGCCATAAATTTTCAAAAGTAGGTCACCGTGACCTACTTTTCAGTTGCTGTACTCCGAGGACCAAAGATACATCGACTGACAAAGTTTGATGATTCTAAGCCAATTAGTACCCGAAATATTTAATTATCGCCATAAATTTTGAAAAGTAGGTCACTGTGACCTACTTTTTAGTCGACCTACTCTGAAGACCCAAGATGCATCAACTGACAAAGTTTGATGATTCTAAGCCAATTAGTACCCGAAAAATATTTAATTAACGCCATAAATTTTCAAAAGTAGGTCACTGTGACCTACTTTTTAGTCGACCTACTCCGAAGACCCAAGATGCATCAACTGACAAAGTTTGATGATTCTAAGCCAATTAGTACCTGAAATATTTAATTATAGTCATATAAATTGAAAAGCAGGTCACGGTGACCTACTTTTCAGTTGACCTTTTTTGAGGACCCAAGATGCATCAACTTACAAAGTTTTATGATCATAGGACTTAAAATGTCCAAATTATGCCTCTAAAATGCTTTGAAATCGAATGCCTGCAAAGTTCAAAAAGTAGGTCACTGTGACCTACTTTTTAATTAATATGTTTTATGGCCCCAAGATGCATCATCTTACAAGATTTAATGATTCTAAGCCTCCCCGTATTCGAATTAATGACCTTAATTGTTTTAAAAAAGATTAGCCATAAAATTCAAAAAGTAGGTCAAGGTGACCTACTTTTTAGTTGACGTACTTTGAGGACCCAAGATGCATCAACTGACAAAGTTTGATGATCATAGGCCTTAAATTGTTCAAAATATGCCTCTAAATCATTTTGAAAAAGAATGGCCGCAAAATTTAAAAAGTAGGTCACCGTGACCTACTTTTGAGTCAACATGATATGAGGTCCTTAGATGCACCAACTGACAAGATTTGATGATCCTAGTCCTTATAGTAAGCAAAATATCAACATTTTAATAAAATGTAATTTTTGGTCAACTTTGAAGTGACCTTGAGACCACGCCCTTTGCCCCAGGGTAAATCCCCGTGCAAATTTTAATCTACAACATATCCTCATCCTTTTGTGTAAGTTTGGTGATAATCTGCCCAGTGGTTCTTGAGAAGAAGATTTTTTAGCAACCAGTACTTTTGTTTCTATTTTCCTAATTATCTCCCCTTGTTAAAGGGTCACAACCCCAGTTTTAGTATAAAAGGGAGCCCTTGGGCCAAGGATACCCTGTGACAAATTTGACAATAATTGGCCAAGGGGTTCTTGAGTTATGGCCCATATTCTAAAAAGTTTACGCACACCGCACAAATGGCCATAGCATTAGCTCTTTGAGCCTTTGGCTCAGAAGAGCTAAAAATGGTGCGTCTCCTGAAACCTCACAATGACTAAAGTGTTTATTATCTAATTCAGTCCACGGCTCAAAAACATCTTTCCAATAACTTGTTTTTCAAATTCTTAAGGATAATTTTAATATATTCAATGCCACATGTTGATATTTTTTATCAAATCTATATCCGGTAAAATATTTTGTAAATCTTTATCTGACAAAATGAGCCGTCTCATCCAAAATAATTTTAGTCATGCAGTAAAAGCTCTTATATCTATCATTTTTAGTCCGCCTTCTTCATATATTTTTTTACTAAGACATCTTTCTTCACTCTGTGATATGGATCATTCCATACAAATGAAATATTTTTTTAAGTTCCTTCAAAAAGTTTTCTGATGGATTAGGAATAACCATTAATAATGATGTAAAAGAGATAGAACTAGAGTTCTGAGAACGATATCTTCCCAACAGGTGTCAAATATCTCCTACTCCACTGGTTAATCGTGTCTTTTATATGTCTTAATTTGAGTTCACAGTTGAGTCTTTCCATTTCATTCAAATCGACATCAAATTCAATTCCAAATAGGGTAAATCTTGTACATCCCCACTTAAGGTTATACTCATGACTAATTTGTTTTGGAACCAATTTAAACCGCATGGGATTTTGAACAATTGATATATATTAACCAGACATTTCTGAGAATTTCTTTAATGTTTTCATCACTTCTATCAGTGATTCTTTGCTACCACCTAATTGAAGTGTTATCCGCTTATTGTGATATTTTCTTTTCCATGTTCTTCACAGTGATTCTCTTGGTTTTTTTTCTAATCAGAATTACTTAAATTACTGCATACAAGATAAAGATATAAGGTGATAAAGGATCCCCTTGTCTACAGCCTCTCTGAATATTGAAACGTTGTGAAAAGTGTTTTTTTTTTTTTTTTTTTTTTTTTTTTTTTTTTTTACTTTTGTAGCAAAGACACATAGTGGGATCTAATAAATGTTCTATCAAGCCTTCCTCTACTCATCGCAAAAATATTAAGTGAAGAATTCAAATAAAAAAATTTTCCTATGGTTGACGGAAAGGGAAAACTATGCTGGTGAAAAAACTAACAATTTTTCTTTTAAACATCAGTATTATAAAAAACAAACTCTCTGATAAGTTCCCATGTGTAAGTAAGCTAATCCGGACATATTCTGAATCCAGTTGATTTGGCTGTTGCTTTCTATTAGTATTTTGAATTTAACGTACTTGTTGAATAAAAGATGACGTAAATTCTGATACTATTTCCAGGTATATCATGTGCTCAGGTTATATCAGTTCTTGTGCATGACCCATAATCCATGTAAAAAATAAAGAAATATATGCAGTTGGACATAAAGTAAATGATATGTGTACAAGAAGCTAGCATTACTGTAAGATAAATAAGAAAAAATGTTGATCTCAGAGGAATTACATAAACAAATAATTTTGATTCTAAGGTTTTCAGTCTCCTACTTATGACCGAGAGTCACACTTTAAATAAAATCAAATTATAGATATTACTTTCTTCAGATAAAACTTATGATTTTTAACAAAATTAGAACATGATCTCTTATAAATACACATTTGTTTGAAAAAAAAAAACCACACACAAACACATTCATTCATAATTTTTTTAACATGATTTTATTTTTAGTAAATAATAATATATTTCTTTAGCAGAGAATTCTACTGATGACCGAAGGTAAATCAAATTATAGATATTGGTTTCATCAGATAAAATATAATATTTAACAAAAGTAGAACCAAATCTTTTATAAATACACATTTATTTGAAAAAAAAAAACCCCACACATTCATTTATAATTTCTTTAACATAATTTTACTTTTATTAAATTATAATATATTTATTTAGCGGACACTTGGTCTATTTACTAATTATTTATGATAATGTCATATATACGATCTTCTAAACTTTAACTTATTATTATCATTACGGTAATGTTTTGGTGAGTATAGGAGTCTTCACACTAGATTTAAAAGACATCCCTACATGCTGTAAAATCACTTATTTTTCTAGGGTCAGATTTTCGTGGTTAAAGGAAAACATATTAGTTTGGGGGGATTTGATACAACGAAAACAATGGAAATTAAACCACTACGAAAATAAGCAATTTCACAGTAAACTAATGACGTTACATTTATAGGGATGTCAACGAGTACCCGGTTAACCGGGTACTCGATCGAATGTCCGAGTATCGAATACTGAAAATGGTACTCGGTTACTCGGAAGTATATTTTTTTCTTATTTCAAAGTACATATTTTTATCAAAAACTTATCAAAAAATTATTAAATATTCATACGGTGATTAGCGTGTCGTCATCTACACCTGTAAAACACCCATTATTGCCTGTGGCTGTGTATATACAGTAATTAATGACCAATCACCTGGTACACAGCTTTTCTCACCTATTGTGGTCCTTAATTTTTGGATGGCTTCAATTATTGTTTTCAGTAAACATCGTTTAAGTATGGTCTATTATATTCAAATCGTTTTTAAATTATTTAATTAATATACGGTAGCGAAATCGGACATGCATAGAAATACCGCTACCCACTTCAAAAGTGAAGAAATATTTAGAAATACTAAAGATTTTTAAAAAAAAATTGAAAGTCAGTTTGCCTAGTGGGTTTAGTGGGAAACAACCAAATTATGAAATAATATTAGATTAGCAATCCCAACAATGTCTTTTCCTTCTCTTTCGTTTGTCTAACATCACAAAACTGCGTAACAGATTGTCCTTTTGCGTTGATGAAATAGATCCTAAACAAGAAATGTAAACCATTTTTATTTTTTTTTTATGTATTAATTGTGTCTTTTGAGTTTATTTAATAAATAAATTTGGTACCAAAAAATCATTTCCATTTGACTCAGTTGTTTATATACATTTATAAACATGATAAAACAGCTTTGGGATTAAACAGAGCTTAACCGGGCTTAAGAAAATTAACACACTGTCTTGTTTTTTTTCATTTTTACCGAGTACCCGGGTACTCGATCGGAAAAACGTTCGAGTAACCGATTATCAAAAATTGACCGATTTGACATCCCTAAAAATTTAACAATATTTATATCATATGAAGAGTATGTAAATAGAAAACTTAAAAACACCAAAGAGAATCAAATGCTGGTGGAATTTGGGATTTCCTCTGGCAGAAGATAGTCATACTTTCTAACCAACTTCTTATTTCTATCACGGATCTTTGAACTGATGTTTTTCAAATTTTGTCTGAATCTGAAAAATAAAAAAGCGTTTTCTGCGTTTAATCGACATTCAAAATTTGTCTGAAATTGAAAAAAAAAGAGTTTTCTACATTTAATCGAGACCAGAACATTTCACCATTTACTAATTGTTTATTATTAAGATACGTTAAGAAGACAGATTAACTTTCTATAAATTTTACACACAGGTTTGAACCTAGCTTTGAAATTCTAAGACAAGTTTGATATTTTGTAGTAAATTTACTTTTATTATAAAATTCATTCTGGGAACAAATATATTTTTGTATTAGATATGAAGTCGTATTACCACCTAGTTGAAAATTTCTAGAAACAAAAGGAACCAACAGCTATGAGTTATTTTTCCCTATTTAATCGTCTCTCTTTTGGAAACTTTCGAACAGTCATTGGTCGTTAGTCGTCTATCAGCGTCTTTCGGTTGGGATCTGGTGTCATGGAGGATATAGCATCCTCAGTCGACCGTTTGTCCATTGTCATGATTTGGTAAACGGAAAAATCCGTTCACTATTCAGTGTAAAAATGATGGCATAACAATTGTTTGAATGACCTGTCATTCGACCTAAAAACACGTTTTACATAAAATAAGGTCATTTTATAGACCATAGAAGTTGCGGAATGCTGACTTAAACGAGAATGTTGATATTCTTTTATCATTTATGTAATTATTTGTCAATAGCCTGCCTCGTTTTAAATCTTATTTGCTCCTAAGTATTGAATCAACAAACATTAGTTCATACCAGACCAGTTAAAACTGTGAGATTCCGCTTAAGAAATTGGCTACCTTCAAGTCGTTTAGGTTTTGAATAATCATTACAGTTTTCATGTAAAAAAGTTTTTAAACATTATTCCCATTGACTAAGTAACAGATTTCTTACTCCTTTACGATTTCTACTGCTGGTGGATCATATATATAGTCCACTTCAAAGTCTCCTAGAGCGTTGGTGACTCTTTCACTCAAAATTGATACAAAAATCAAGACTTCCAGTGCCGTAGACTTGTCAACTAGGGCCTTAACGACGTCCTCTTCCTTCAAGGGCCTCTAAAAAGTAAAAATCAGTACCCCTTGTAACATAGATTACACTTCCTCATTATGGAACTGCGTTAGACGGATCATATATTAATAGTTTTCTTCAATTTTTCAACCCAGTTCTAATTTTTTTAATAACATTTTTTATGATGATATCTGCGAAAGTCTTTAAAAACAACGACTGGTGCATGGATTTTATAGATTAACTAGACAGACACTTCTTCGATACTTTTATTTCTTGTCATTTAACAATAGTCAAAAGGGTACTCCAAAGGGATCGCCAAAATTCTACAAACAATACAAATCTGTGAGCAGGCCATAAAACACGGATCCCCGGAAATTCCAAAGGTGGGATCAGTTGCCTAAGAGAAGTTATCATCTCCTGTTGACCGATAACACCGGTGATGGGCCATTTACTTTGATCGGGTAAACGGAACATTCCGTAGTCAAATTTAGTAAAAAAAAAATGTCAAAAAAACAATTGGTATGAAACACGTCAGCCAATATACGACTATATCATAGGTATTTGTTGACAAGGTCATTATAAAGACCATAGAATTTACGAAATGCTGACTTAAATAGAGGTTGTTGAAATTCCTATAACATCAATTTCTCTGCCAGTAGCCTGCCTCAATTTAAAAATTGATCTTACTCAGATCTTGCTCTTGAGAATAGGTCAACTACACATCATATGCAGGTGATAGCGGAATAGTGCTACATAAATAGGGAAAGTTGACGATGGAAAAGCTGAAGTTATATTGCTTGTTATACAACTTTATTGTTACTTGGCCCGTATCATCTTAAGTCAGTAAAATAACCACATATGAAACAGATGTGGCATGTTTGTGGTTCTTTTATTTCGAGTTCAAGGGGATAGCTCGAATCAACGTAGGAATTAAAAAGAATATTGTTAATTGATAAAACGTCGTCGATATATCTGAATGTCGAATTGAAGATTGAAGACCACAGCGTTTTCTTCTTTTCAAGAAGTCTTTTAATAAATTCTGCTTCATAGGAATACAAAAACAGGCCAGCTAATAAAGGAGCGCAATTAGTGCCCATTGGATTTCCAAAAGTTTGTTGGAAGACCTAGTCTCCGAAGACTAATAAAAAAATACAAACTGTAGATTATAACATTCTTATAATACTATATTATGCTGCATTTGTTTAGTTGTAGTCACAATGGACACCATTATACAGTGATATCACTAATTACTTGACATGTTTAAACAATTTAACCTAAAACAAAGAGGTTTCAGAGAGCAAAGCCAGCAAAAAAATGAGTTTAAGCTCATAAATGAGCTTTTATATTTTGTGGGATTTGAACATGTGTCCAAGTAGTATTTACAAGTGTATAGATATATAAAAATGATACTTTATTTTTTATTAATGCAATACTTACCTTATCTATGGGAGGCTTTCCCTTGAGTTTGGTCGGATAGTTAGGGGGGAATCCGTACGTATCATACTGAGGAAAATTGATAGCGGCATGTACAACACTACTGGTAAAAATAACGGAAGTGAAGGCGAGCGCCACCTGGTCGGTTGAACTGAACTTCCCGTCTTTGAGAGGAACACCCTAATGGCAATTAAAGAATAATGGATGTCACTTTTTAAAGGATATATGGGTGTGAATAAAAATTGAAAAAAAAAATTTAAAAACAGAATTATTAATGATATAATTCTAATTGCCTAGTAAATTGTTTCTGATATTTTTATTATGATATTTTATTATGACCATTCTTTTTTTCTGATACACGAATAGAGAGATATTCAAACTGATGGCAACTTGATATATATGTACTGGGAAATCCTGATTCTATTTAACTTTGAATATAATATTATGGATTTTGCAAATGCATCCATAATAATGAATTAACAATCTTAATTAGCAAGTATACGCTTTTCATAACGTCGTCCGCCCCCGACATGACAGAATGTCCGCATCAACAACCTACATCAATCCACGGAAAAGGATTCATGAAATTTGTAGATAAAGAACAGTATTCAAGCTCAAAGTCCATTAAAACAATACAAATCGGGAGCAGAGCAAACATGGACTTCCAAAACAGAGCTGGGATCAGGTGCCATGGAAGAGAGAGCATCCCCTGCCGACCTGTCACACCCGCCCTGTGCTCCTTGTCATGATCGAGTAATAACGGAAAAATCTGTCGACAATTCAGTGTGTAAATAATGGCCTAACAATTAGTATGAAAAACGTCAGTCAGCATATGACTTAATGATAGATTGTATTTGATGACAAGGTCATTGTATTGACCATCCATAAATTAAAATGAAAAGAACTCAACTAATGTTTGTAAATTGAGTTCAATCCCCTTGATATAATGGTCAATAAATCTTTCAGAAAAAAAAATCTTAAAAGAAAAGAAATGCATGTAGCATACCAAAATTCCGCAACCTCCTTCAGACTTTGGGATTGACAATTCACGTCCAAACTTTTGAATTTCATCGTCCTCGATAATTTTATCATTAGTGTCTGTGTCAATAAAGAATTTAAAAAAAAAATAATTACAAAATAAATTATCTTATTTGATTTCTAAGAAGTTTTAATTTATTTCATGGAAATAACAATCAATAAATCAAAGACAACTAGATACCCACCATAATAGAAAGTGACGTAATACCAACCGTAATAGAGAGTGACGTAGATACCCACCGTAATAGAGAGTGACGTAGATACCCACCGCAATAGAGAGTGACGTAGATACCCACCATAACAGAGAGTGACGTAGATACCCACCGTAATAGAGAGTGATATAGATACCCACCGTAATAGAGAGTGATATAGATACCCACCGTAATAGAGAGTGACGTAATTGCTGACGTAGCTGTGAATGGCTTCATACAAATCTAGACTATCGTCACGCTGGTAAAACGTTTGCAGAATTTTTCCATCCTTGCAATATAGCTGTGAATAGTGATTAAAATGCAAACCACTTTTATTACTTTAGCATCTTCCAGTCATATGCAACCGTTAACCCCCCATCCCCCCCCCCCACCCCCCAAGATACCTGCATTCAGCGACTTTCTGTCTAACGCAACATGTAAATATCATTTTTCATTCTAAATGAAAGATTAAACCCCTCAATTTAGCGACTTTTGACCCTGGGATTTATAACAAAAGTATCAATTGCTTAGATTCAGCCCCTTCGATACCCCTATTTGCAGAAAGTTGTAACCAAAACATACTTATCAATATTTGTATATGTAATATTTCACAGTATGTAACAAGGAATAAAGAATAAGAAAAAAAAAAAAAATCAAAAGTATAAAAAAGGAACAGGAATGATTTTACTAGATTTTTCGTAGTCCTACTACAAAAATACAAATATTTATACCTAAGGGCAATATATAATTACACGGACAAATCCGTGATGTCATGTGGGAGACTTGTCAAGGAAGGTCTGGGTGATTTCAAAGTATTCTCTTTCTCAATTTGTTTCTCAAAATATCAAAAATTTTACCAGTGCTGCGCTAATCAATATCGAGTATTCATAAATTTTAACCTTAAAATATAATTTTACGCTTTATATTTCACAGAATGGATTTTTTTTCGTTTCTTCAGGTATTAGAGTTAACTTTCTTCCAAGATTTGATCCTTTATTTTTCGATTTTATTTTTAACTATTTAACTTTTTAACTTTCTCAACACTCAAGGATTTTAAAACCTTAATTCTAGAATACCCTCCAGATTTCTAAAATGCCTAATATAAGTAAATCTTGGGTGTAAACATAGTTATTTTTATACCCAAATATCTCACAAAGAAAGTTTATAATGATCATATCAAGATTAAATGATCTACATAAAATTATACCTTAATCCAAACAGACTATAACAGAGGCAGCAGTATTATGATATGTGCTCCTTCGCCAGCTTTCATCTTCATTTATAAAAGTGTATTTGCGATTGTCTGAGAATTTTTATTGTAAAAAAAAATAGGGGAGTTGGCATATCATTATGTTAAGACAACGAACATCAATCATGCTCAAATTACACAACATAAATTGAAAGCAGAGCAATAAAGGACCATGAATTCGAAAAAAAAGAATAGGATTAGGTGCCATACAGGGGTAAGCATCCCCAGTCAACTCAACTTCGTCAGGCCTTTATCGGTAAAACGATCGGTAAAACGAGTAGTCCGTGGTACGAAAATAAGGGCCTTACAAAGTTAAAAAATGCTAGTCAACATTTGACCTATTAACAGATTGTATTTGCTAACAAACTCAACGATTTTACAATAAGTTAATTTAAAAAAATATATATTTTTAAAGCAAGGGATTTCGACAAAAAGTGCAACGCTGGGCTACACTATGCGATCGTATGGAACTATATGGTACATTAGCGACGACATAAGTTGTGACCCTGTCATACGAATAACATATTACATCGGTATACATTTACCGTAACATACCCGAAGTTCTCAATTAACATAAAACCAAAAAAAAAATTCCAAAAGGAGCCACGGTGACCTTTTTCTGGTTCATAACACCCCTTTCCTCAAGGTATTTTAGGTTTTGAGAGTCCAGTACCTCATACGAACCGATGCATCAACTGTCAAGGTTTGATGCCTTTGGTCTCACAGAGTGCAAGCATGATTTTTCTAGGAACTGAACTCCAAATTGATGTCATCATGACCTACTTTTGGGTTCGCAACACATTCTTTTTACCAATATGCGTCAACAGACAATTAATGTTTTATTGTCTCAGGTCTGACAGTGTGAAAAATATCACTTAGACATGAAAAACTAACGAATGGATAAACGGACCCATGCCATAATGATAAAAAAAGATATTGACCGGGAGTGTAAATTAAAGTTTGACTTACAGTTGAAAAAATAAATCGGTTTATTGGGTGAAATCACAACACCTGAGGTAAAAGCACATATTTTGCTCGATAAAAGCACTTAGCAAAATAAATATATAGCTATAAGATTTATCTCACCAAAGTAAGCTTTAAAACACTCATATGTCTTTTAAAATGAAGAAGGAATTGTGACGTTACAAACCCCTCTGTGTTTCAAAAATTCTGGATATGTTCCTTCTACATCCATTCTCCAGGAACTTGTTCTGGAAGTGAAATGAAAAGTAAAACTTAAAATAAACATGACGAATGTAAAAAAAACTAGAAACAGTCAGGGAACAAGGAGACCGATGCTACCTGATTTCTAATAGTGCATTACATTATTTTTAATGTTTAATTCAATAAACCTGATTGGTTTGTTTTGTGCTCAGTCGATATGCTTCTCTGTAAAGTCGATAGATGAAATACGGAGATAACGAACAGTATTCAAGCTCATAAGTCAATTCAAACAATACATATCAGGAGCAGAGCAAACGCGGACCTCTATAACATCAGAGGTGGGATAGGTGCCATGGAGAAGTGAACATCCCCTGCCGACCGGTAACCCCCGCCGTGTTCTCCTTGTCGTGATCGGGAAAAACGGAAAATTCGTACACAATTCTATGTGTAAATAATGATCTAACAATTAGTATGAAAAGCATCAATGAGCATTTGAGTTAATTATATATTGTATTTGCTGACAAAGTCACTGTATCGACCATAGAAATTGCGAAATGGTGACTTAAAACGAGAGTGTTGATATTCATGTTTCATCAACATTTTTTTCAATAGGTTACCTCGTGTTAGAAATTGTTCGTACGCAGTGCATGCTCTTGCATATCAAATCAATTGAGAAAAATAAACTCCATATGCAGCTGATAAGAGAATATTGCTACATTAGCAAGGTAAGCTGACAATTGAAGTTGGAAAAAAAATCATAAAGCATTGTTGTTTTTTTTCTAGTAAATTATACAAAATAAAAAAGGTGTGTCAGACTCTGTGGTGTCTTTCATTTCAAGCTCACTGGGATATATGGATTCGACATATGAATGGAAGTAACTATTGTTAATTGATAAAAATGATTATTATAATAATTGATAATAAAAATGTCGAGTTGAAGGTCACAGCATGTGTTTTCTTCTTCAAATAAATTCTGCTTCATATGAATATAAAAATAGGTGATACCGGGGCGCAATTGTTGCCCATGGAAATTCCGACAGATTGTTGGAAGATCTGGTCTCCAAAATACTACATATATATTGTCAATCAGAAACTCAAACATCTAATTCGCATACAAGGACTATAACTGTATAATATTTGTACTGCAAATACTAATGAAAGGTAAAAAAATAAACCCCTATTATATTCACCCTTTGGCAATGAGCTCCGCACTACCCTTGCTTCCGATCACTGTCAATGTATTGAATATTCCTTCAGGCTCTAGAAGTACTTCAAGACCGCCGCTGGAAATTTTTAAAATTTCATGATCAAATTTCATTTAACATTTTTGAAAATGGAAAAACAAAATCGATTTAGCTCTGGATATATGAACCATCTCTAAATTATATGTGGCTAAAAAATTAATAATTAAAAAAAAAACAAAACAAAAAAACAAAAAACAAGAAGCCAATGGGCCACATCGCTCACTTGAGTACATTGGCTAAGCAAAAGCAGAAATCAGTACAGTATTGAAAAGTTTACGGCGGGGGATACAAACATAAATTTCCACTACTTCAGGATGCTTCCATAACGATATTATTAGTCATGTCTTTGCTGTTCTTGAGCAAGAGAATTTCAGAAAGTTTTTCCTATGTATCTCTATGTAAAACTCTGATCTCATTGTGGTCCGGCCCTACCCACCCTAAATTTGAATCTACACTACCTAAGGGTGTTTCTATATAATTATATGACTAATCATGACTTTGCTGTTCTTGAGCAGAAGATTTTTTCAAGATGATTCCTACATATTCGTATGTTAAACTTTGAACCTCTGTTGTGCTCCCCAACTCCTGGGGTCATAATTTGAACAAACTTGATTCTACAATACCAAAGGTTGCTTCTGCATAAATATGACTAAGATAGCTAAATTTTTCCTCAGAAGATTTTTAAAGATATTTCCTATATATTCCTATGTAAAAACGTGATCCCTGTTGTGGGTCCGCCCTACCCCCGTTGGTCATGATTTAAACAAATATGAATCTACATTACATGAGGATACTTCTATATTAATATGAATATTTGTGGATTAACTTTTCCTGAGAAGAAAGAAAATTTTTAAAGATATTTCCTTTATATTCCTATGTAAAACTTTGGACCCCTGTGCTCTATCACCAGGGGTCATTATTTGAACAAACTTAATCTACACTGCCTGAGGGTGCTTCCATATAAATATGAAAATATTGGCTAAGCTGTTCTTGAGAAGAAGATTTTTAATGATATTTCCTATATATTCCTATGGTAAACTTTGACTTCCTGTTGTGGCCCTGTCCTACCCCCCGGGGGACATGATTGGAACAAACTTGAATCTACTCTACCTTAGATACTTCTATAATAATATGACTAATCATGGCTTTCCTGTTCTCAAGAAGAAAATTTTTAGACATTTTCTATATATTCCTATGTAAAACTTCTACCCCTCTTAAAATTGTGGCCCTGCCCTACCCTCGGGGTTATAATATGAACAAATTTGAATCTAAACTATGTAATGAAGTTTTCACATACGTTTCATCTTTTCTTGTCCAGTGGTTCTTGAGAAGAAAATTTTTAAAAGATGCCACCAAATTTTCACGAATTCTTAATCATCTTCCCTTGAAAGAGGGCCTGACACTTCCTGTGAACAATTTAAATCCCCTTCGCCGAAGGATGCTTTGTGGCACGTTTGGTTGAAATTGACGTAGTGGGTTTTGAGAAGAAGTCGAAATTGTGAAAAGTTTAGAAGGACGACGACAGACAACGGACAAAGTTTGATCAGAAAAGCTCTCTTGAGCCTTCGGCTCAGGTGACCTAAAAAAAGGATGAAAAGCGATTCGCAATCCTTTTTAATTGCAGATTAAAGAAGATGGGCGTCTTTGGCGTGTAATCTGCAGAAATCATAAGTACGAATCATTCTTAGGTTAAATGCCCAAGTCAAACAGACGATATGGTCAGCTGATCACACCTGGACAGCCTTTACTAAAGCTGGACATATAGAAAAATATTACATTACATTAGAATACCTTGTCAAAAAGAATTAATATATGTTGCTTATCTTAACAGTTACAATAACATGTGTTACATTTCACATGATTAAATAAACAGTTAACAAATAATAGGGTAAAATAGGGTATAGTAAATAACAAATGTATTTAAATGTATTAAAACTTCAGTGGATCGGAAGAATTTTTTTGATCTCGATGAAACAGAATCAAATTCAATTTTATTTCAAATCAAAAAATAGAGTCAAAATGACTTTAGACTGTTTGCTTTTTTAAAAATAAATAAACGCCCCACGCAAGGATCGAACCAAATTTTTTCAACTCCTCAACGTCATGGTCAGGTAACATATCGCTGCGCTATCGTCGCTACATACTGTACGCGTGTTTTATTGTTTGTTTGTATATTGTTTGACGTCCCTCACGAGATTTTTCACTCATATGGAGACGCCAACATTTGCCGGTGGAGAGCTACAAATTTTGACCTATACTCGGCACTCAGGGCCATTGAGCAGTGAGGGATCTTTTTCGTGCCAGCACCTACTGCCAGCACCTACTGCGACACGGGACCTCGGTTTACACGGTCTCATCCGAAAGACCGGTCTCCACAGTGGGATTCGAACCCGCGATCAAGTCCTTACTCCGCAACTCTAGAGCGAACGCTCTAACCACTGTGCCATGCGGGCGACTACGCGTGTTTTAAAGCAACTATGAAGCGAATGCAACTATGAAGCGAAACATTTACACAATGTGATTAAAAAAAAAAAAAATTAATGGTCTCTGCGTCTTCTATCCATTTTCTTTATTATAAATGTTTGCTCTTTTCTTTGAGTTAAAATGCACAAAAATCACGTTTTAAAATCAAAAAGCGATGACCCAGAGATAGCTAATTTATATAAAAACATGTGTAAAATGTAACATTTTATACCAAATGACGCATCTAGCCATAATTCATGGCATATTTTAACAAATAAAAATACAATATCGGGAAAATATTTTCCTTCCTATATCACAAGAACCCTATTCATAAATAGAATGCTAATATATCAAATGTCGCATCATTGAAATGTTCACTTTTCGACTGGGCCCAGACTCCTGCCGAATCCAAATCTAAAGATCCCTCGTTCTTTGTTTATAGTCTACAGAAGGATTTGGATCTCTTACATTTATATGGAAATCAGTATGTACAAGTAATACCCACATACAAAATTCATTGTCATAAAAAAGAATGAAAAATACCTACTCATTGACTGCAATAATGTAGAGAAGATGAGGAGCCAACAGTTTAAACATGGGATGTGAAGGAGATAGACATCTATTGGCTGCTACACATTCACTCTCCAAAATTAGGTGTGTACAACCTTAAAGTAAACCGAATATTGATACACATTTATAGATGTGTTGATGAACATTCACGCAAACGTTAGTTGGTACGCAGTGAGCTTGTTTATTTTGATCGGAAAAAATACAACTGTATTTGACTATAACAAGAACCAATTACAACGATTTTTGTTCTGTAAAATCAATCAACATATATTCTAATGAATAGTGGTAATTATGATCTTGTCTCCAATAATTATTGCTTTTAAAAATTTAGATTATGAACGCCTTATTTAATGATTTAATGCAAAGCAGTTAAATCAATGACAAAATGAATAATTACAAAGTATTTAATACGGGATATCTTTTCGATGTAAAAAAATCTTTATAACATGGGAAAAAAACAAAATAGCTTTACCTAGATGAGCAATGGTTTGATGAAGATTTGAGTCCCCCACATTAAACCACATTTTGGCCATCGACCAGGTATATGGGGGATCACTAGGCAAAAATACCTGAAAATCAATGGCTTAATTTAGTGCTTAACTTTTATAGTTGTTCCAATAACCCCTTTGGCCAATTAAAAACATCAGTGGTTAGCACATGAGGATAAGACCTTACAGGGTTATCAGGTCCCTTCTGTTGAAAGAGTTGTATCGCTACTGGCATCAGTTGACCTCTAACATCAACAAAGAAAAGGCCAATGGGTGCTACACTGCAAAAGTCACAAAGGGACAAAATTTTTACACATACAGGTTTTTATTTTTAACTCCTCTGCCAATCATAATTAAAGTGTGCCTTAAGGTTTATTGTTACTCTGAAAAGAGAGATAACTCTAACAGGCATAATTACTATTATTTCTTGATAAAACTGTCAAATTTACAAGTCATTTTGTCAAATTTTGCAAAGGTATGTTGAAATTGTGTGCATTTTAGTTGTAAATAAGATTTCTTTTGGATCATCATAGCGTTAAGGAAATTAAAGAATTCATATGATCGAGTAGAGGGATGGTAAACCTTAAATCGAATGTCATTCAGAATGAGTTAACTTAACATTGATATCTTATGTGTGCATAATTTAGCCGAATTCATATTATGGTAGATTTATATGTAAATGTAGTTCATAATAGCATTTAAAACATCCCACCTGCAATTGTGCCAACTGCACCTGTGCTAAATTTGATTGCTGTAAACCAACGTTTTGCTTACGAGAACTAAGAGCTTAGTTTGGTGACCTTTTTTACACTTAATTATATCTCGCCGAGAACTATTTATGTTATTGTGTATTTACATAGAATATTTTCCTCCCGCCAACATTTGAAGTCATGGAAGTATTTCAAACTGACGAATTGTGAACAAAAGTTGTCGCAAATATTAGTTGGTTTACGTACAGTACCCAAATTTAGCAAGAAACAAAGGATTTCGACTTACATAGACATTTTTCTTCTGGATTAGAATATGAATCCTCGCTCATCTATAACCGTTCTAAAAAGTATTTTATTAGGATTATAGCAGTTACGGCATTTATTTATAATCATTGTTTGTAAAAAGATAAAGCAGTTCGCCCTTTGTACGTAGATATATAGATAGAGAACAATAATAATAAAAGACCATTGAAACAATAAAAATCGGGAGCAGAACAAACACGAACCTCTACAAAAATATCGGAAGTGGGATCAGGTGTCATGGAGGAGTAAGCATCCCCTGTCGACTGGTCACACCCGCCGTGCGATAATTGTCATGATCGGGCGAACGGAAAATTCCGTAGACAATTCAATGTTTAAAATATGGCCAAACAGTTAGAATGAAAAAAAACGTCAGTCAGCATACGATTTAATGATAGATTGTATTTGCTGGCAAGGTCATTGTATCGACCATAGAAATTGCGAAATGATATTTTTAAACGGGAGGTTGATATTCTTGTTTCATCAACTTCTTTGTCAATAGTTTGCCTCGTTTTAAATATGATTTGTTCCTGGAGCATGTTCTTGTGTATCGAATCGGGAGAAATAAATAAGTATATAATATTATATAAGATGATTATTTTCGTAATTTTCATTTGCTGAAAGGACGTAAGGTTATATTCGTCCTTTTGTGATATTGACGCAAAAGCGCGTCCGCGGACTATAATATCGCACGACTCACCGTTCGGTTGCACCAAAGTTACTTAGAACGTGACGTCATAATATAAGAATCATGTCTTTACCATTGTTAATATCACTTGACATGGGTACTCATAACCACAAATCGATCTATACTGAAGTCCATAAATGTATATAAGTTGACGATAGAAAATTTGAAGTCATCACGTTTATCAAAAAGCTTTGTTATTATGTTACCATTAACGTCTTTTTCTAGTTAAATATCCAAATATGAAGCAGATGTGTGTCAGAATCTGTGGTATCTTTCATTCAAGTTCACTGCGATATGTCGAGTCTACCTATGAATGGAAATAACTATTGTTAATTGATACTACGTCATCGATCTAAATGTCGATTTGAAAGCGACAGCAAATGTGTTCTTCTTCTCATGTTCATGATTTTGAATAAATTCTGCTTCATATGAATACAAAAATAGTTTTACTAATAACGCGGCGCACTTGGTTCCCAAGGAAAGTCCGAGAGATTGTTGGAAGACTTGATCTCCAAAAACTACTATATAGATAATGTCAATCAGAAACTAAAGCATCTCTTTGATATCTACTTCAGAGTACTTATGTGTACAATTAGAATGATTTTTACACAAAATAATTTTGCAAATGACCAATGACAAGGTAAGTAAATTTACGAGTTCCATTTGTATTGAAGAAGCAGCTGTCAATGATATCAAAAAGCCTGGACTTTAATTTATCGTGGGGAATGGTTGATCATGTATGAAGATAATATGATAGGAAATATGAAGATAACGAACAGTATTCGATCTCGGAAGTCTAATGAAACGATACAAATTTGGAGCAGAGCAAACACAGACCTCAAAATTTAGAGGTGGAATCAGGTGCCACGGAGTGAACATCCCCTGCCGACCGGCCGCCGTGTGCTCCTTGTCATGATCGGGAAACAAAAACCGGAAAAATCCGTAAACAGTTCAGTATATAGAAAATGGCCTAACAATTATTATGAAAAACGTCAGTCAGCATTTGACTCAATGATAGGTTGTATGTGCTGAGAAGGTCATTGTATGGACCGAAAAATGCGAAAAGATGACTTCAAACGAGATTGTTTAAATTGTTTAAATTGTTGAAAAGCAGTACGTTTTGAAGTTATTGATTTTGGTTAGAAAAATTGATTTTATGTATAGACGTAGCCAACAGAAATCCCAATGAGTATTTTTAAGTCATCAAGGAACAAAGTTATAGTCCTCAGCATTGATGAGAAATCCCATTCAGTATTTCTAGATCAGTAATGGACGAACTTACAACATAGCCTTCAACAAGTGAAATCCCATTCAGTATTAATTTTCTAGATCAGTAGTGAATAAACTTACAACATAGCCTTCAACAACAGAAATCCCATTCAGTGTTTCTAGATCAGTGAGGAACAAACGTTTATCCCTGATGGCTTGAGATATTGTAAGGCCCCCGAGGAAAGGTTTAACCATTTCTTCAGTCACACCAAATCTGAATTGAATATAAAAATATGTAAAAACGTTGATTTTGTAATTGATAGAACAATGATCAAGAGTCATCATTATAGCATTATTGTTTTCGTCAACACGTACGATCTCTACTATAAAGGTAGTTCTTGTTTTGATTATATATCTTTAGAAGAGCAAATAAATTAATAACAAAACTTTACTTGTCCGGTAAATGGGTACAAAGACGTATCATGTTTGGATTGAGACCATTTAATCGCTGCCAGCCAAAACTAATATCACTCTCCCAACCCTGCATCCCCTGTTCAAAATAAGATACACACTCCATTAGTCGTTAATTAGAATCTCTTTGTAGATAATAGGAATTAGGAGTATCGGCTGGGAATTTGGTATTACACTATAGTGCGATATCTAACTGTATTGCAATATTATTACAATATTTTCAACAGCAGTAAAGATGATTTTTTTTTCTTATTTAATCAATCAAAATGCAACCATACAACAGCAACCTTACTGTTTGGCATGATTGAAAACATTTCCGAAATTTTAAATTTCATATTTTTACTTAAGAAATCCCAAGCTAAGCCCAAGCATTTTCCAGGTATATCGGTACTGAAAAAATTGGATCACAGAGCGGTATTTTTTTTTGTCAACGAACCACGCCCTAATTGGAATCAAAATGTAATGGTAATCATGGTGTAACAAAATCGTTTTGTTTTACGAATCAATATTAATTTCTTTTCGCTTTGTCAATTGTCGTCTTTGGGATCAATGGGATGTGAATTTCTTCAGGAGAAAATTCTTAGCTCTGACAGAATGCCAATCATCAAGCTGATTAGTATTTAAACTTCGCAAAAGATTGCAATGTCTCCGAATATTGTACATGAATGAAAAGGGTGAAGATAACGAACAGTGATCGATCTCAATCTTGAAATACTACAAATCTGTGATGATGGCATAAACACGGACCCATGAAAATTTCAGAGGTGGGATCAGGTGCCTAGGAGGAGTAAGCTTCCCCTGTCGACCCGTCACACCCGCCGTGAGCCCTATGTATTGATCAGCTAGACGGAACATTCCGTAGACAAAATAAGTATAAAAACAAAAGCCTAACAATTTGTATGAAACAAGTCAGCCAAAACACGACCCAATGATTAGTTATATTTTCTAACAAGGTCATTATAACGACCATAGAATTAACGAAATGCTGACTTTAAACGAGGTTGTTAAATTTCTGTAACATCAACTTATCTGTCAATAGCCTGCCTCATTTTAAAAATTGATCGTACTCGGAGCATGCTCTTGAGTATCGTATAAGTTGGGAGATGCAGGTGAGAGCGCAATATTACTACAACAATAATATTACATACTTGAAATGAAATAAGGAGATAACAAATAGCGTTTAATCTTATAAGTCCATTCAAACATTACAAATCAGGAGCAGAGCTAACACCGACCTCTAAAACATCAGAGATGGGATCGGGTACCATTGAGGAATGAGCATCCCCTGCTAATCGGTCACAACTGCGTGTCCTCTTTGTCATGATCGGAAAAAGCGGAAAACCCGTAGCCAATTCAGTGTGTGAATAATAACCTTACAATCAGAATGAAGTACGTCAGTCAGCATTCGACTTCATGATAGAATGTACTTGCTGACAATGTCATTGTATCGACCATACACCTTGGGAAATGATGCCTTTAAACGAGACTGTTGATATCCTTGTTTCATCAACTTGTTTGTCAATAGGCTGTTTCGTTTTAGAAATTGTTCGTACGTATCTAGCATGCTCTTGCGTATCGAATCAACTGAGAGAAACTCTACATGCAAGTGATAAGGATATATTGCTACATAAGTAAGGGAAGTTGATGATTGAAAAGTTAAAGTAATCATATTTAGCATAAAGCTTTGTTGTTTGGTTACCATTAACGTCTTTTTTCTAGTAAAATATCCAAATATGAAACAGATGTGTTAGACTCTGTGGTATTTTTTATTTCAAGCTCACTGAGATATATAGAGTCGACATTGAATGGAAGTAACTATTGTTAATTGATAATACTTCGTCGACATATCTAAATGTCTAGTTGAAGCCACAGCAAAGATTTTGAATAAGATAAGTTCTGCTTCATATGAATACGAAAAAAGTCTGCTAACAATGGGGCGCAATTGGTACCCATGGGAATTTCGGAAGACTGTTGGAAGACCTGGTCTCCAAATACTACATAGATAGTGTCAATCAGAAACTCAAGCATCTTTTTTATATCTACTTCAGAGTACTTGTGTGCTCAGAGTGTTTTTTGAACAAAATAATTTTGCAAATGACCAAGTAAATAAATTCAAAAAGTAAAGTCAAAATTCCTGGACTTTAATTTATCGTCGGGAATGGTTGTATAATGTGATGAAAGATTGTACGTTTTGATGTTATTGATTTTGGTAAAATTTTGTGATTTCAAATTTTTAAGTTCCTTGTAATTTTTGAGAATGCATATCTGATTGCTGTGGTAAAATTTAGAAATTTATTTAAATATTAAGGATTATCTCCCTCTTGCATAGCATAGGTCCGGATCCCCCTTTCCAAATCTTGTAAACAGGGGAATTTTCTCCTCCGTTTTTTAAATCCCTTTCGCGCTACTCACAGGTTGGAACAATTAAAAGGGGGCGAATTCAAAATAACATAGTATAATTTCTTAAACAGAACTGTGACTGGGCGAATTTAAATCGGGGCAAAATTATTTGCAAGTGTGAAATGTCGAAAATAACATGGGGCGAAAATTACCCCTGTATACAGTAGCTTTAGCCAGTTATCTAAAGATATGTTTGTAAATAACTATATATGTTTTGTTTCTTTAATGTAAACAGTATAAAAAGAAACTAAAAATTATAATTCACAATAAGATAAAATAAAACTTTCTGATGTCTTACCTTGGGCTCTTCAAATATTTTCGAGTATATATCTTTCAAGTCGTCTAAAGTTTGCCACGGTCCATCACCAAAAATCATCTCCCACGCCTTACCGGCCTTCAGAGTAAGGGTTTTCTTCAGCAGATCAAACTGTGATTTTGAAGACATCATTTAATGAACATTTTATGAAATTCTCGCTATCTGAACTTTCATTTTGACAGAAAAATATTGCTTAGCTCTTGATCAGACTAATCTATGGAGCTGAAGAAATGAATTGAATTTGAGCCGTGAGCACTTTTTCCTGGTACATATTTTTGACACTAAAGTAAAATGATATAATTACGTAAAATGATATCTATTTAGATTAACGTTTGCATCGTGCATTAAGAAAAAAAAAAAAGAAAAAAAAAGACTTAATGATTTTATGTACAGCTCACGATCCATGCATTATCTTTATATAGGAGATTGATGATAATTAGTAAATGTCATTGGGAAAAAAAAGAAAGAAAGGTATCACCTATATGAAAAATGTATAGATTGGAAGAAGTATGACGTCACCTACCTTGTGAGAAAAAGAAAAATCCTCGTCCTCGGGGAAGTTTTTAACCTAATAACATAGCAATCAATTAATCAATTAATGGAGAAATAATTAACATTTATATATACCAGTAATATAATACATAAAATTATTCATTTAGTGATGACAGAATATGAATTATAGATTATTACCTGAACGGGAAATCCCGGTCTTTTCTCCTCATACTCATATAGTTGTCTTTTCTCATAAAGTTCAGCCCTGCGCTGTTCTGGTCGAGGATCAAACTGAGGCAGAGAGGCATCATATCGTCCAAAATAAAGGTCAACATCAGGACGAATCCATCGAAGTATTGGAAAAACAGAAGTATATCCGCTCTTCCAATTTGTTACTTGGATCTTTTCGACAAACCAATCGCTGAAGGAACCCGCTTTGTCTCTTCGCAGCTTGATTTCAGTTACTTCAGGAATATCTGTTTTATCTTTTATGGTGAAGACATCTGTCCGGCATCTTTCAAAATCATTTCTAAACCTGTTATCAAGAGTGGCGGATTGTGTTTGCTTCCCAGAGCTACCCAGTAGAACTATCTCTACGTTGGCATCTGTACCCGCCCCCTGCACATCCCCGGTCTTCACCTTAATTTCGTAAGTGACCATTGTGGATGTTAATCAGTATATACTCAGGACTGGTAAGAAATGTAATATATATAGGATATAGGGGACACAGTTCCTATTTCTACGTTGATACGTTGTTATCGCTTACAATCAAGGATTCACAGTTAAAACCACTTCCTTTATTTATCATTTCCATTGGTATTCAGGAAATAAGAATCCAAATAAAGAGGATTTAATCGTCTCTTAACATTATTTTTGCCTCTTGGAATTTTTGAGACAATAAATCAAGACAATTTGAGCTTGCTTTATTTGATACAATGTAGAGAAAACTAGTAAATAAATATTTATCTCATACTTTTCGGATATCACTACATGTAGATATTATTGCGCCGTTAGGTCACGTAATAACCTACGACGATTGGAAAAATTAATATTTGCTCTCAACATGTTTATATAACAAAGAAATGCCACAAATGTACGAGGGTTGTCCAAAAAGTTCGTGGACAATGGCGTTTTTGTCAAAATGAATGGTTCAAGATATACTTATTGTATACCAAAATATTAGTTATGAAATTCCAAGTCAGAATAGTTTGGCTTTTATTGTTTGAACTTAATATTTTTGTAAAAATCGTGGTCATTAGAGGTCGCCGATAGTGCGCACAGACTAGGGTTAAAATGCCATAAACTTTTTTAAAAAGTGCTCTGATTAAAATGATTATTTTCTTTATAAAACGAGTCAAAGCTTAATTCAAATTAAATGTGTCGCAAATAAAGCGTCTATCGTCATTTTCTGATATCTTTAGTATCGCTTACTAAATAGACAGTGAGAATATTAAGCAAAAACAAGAAGTACGTTTCAAAAATTGACAGAAAAAGCTGCCATCCGAACGGAACAGCGTCCAATCATACGATTATGGTTTAATATGGTTGAAACGAAATCAGACACAAAATATTTATTCAAACAACTTGAAATTATTGGAATTATTTAGTTCATTAATTTGTAATTGGTGTATACGATTTTTCAACGGTGTGTAAAATTTTTGTTTTTTTAAATTTTTTTTACATCGTTGGCTTCACTGCTTTCGAACTTCTGTTGTGCTATTTCTATTTTTTCTCTCATTTTTCTACATTTCTCCTTGATGTTGGCTGTTGAATAAATCGCTTTACGATTGAGTGTCGATTATGACATATCTTCCGTATTTTTGCTTCTGAATTTGTATACTCAAGAGCAAACTTTAAGGTATTATTCAGGTAAGTGATTTTCAGGGACCCCTTAAAGAAGAAAGATAAATACTGTAAAATCATTTATTTTCGTGGGGTCCGATTCTCTTGGTTTGAGGAAACTTACTGGTTCGAAGGGATATGATTTCGTGGTTAAAGGAGAAACGTTATATAGCAGTATGAAATTTTCAATTTCCTGGGAGATTTGAATTTGTGTATCTTTTTCATACCACGAAAATTAAACACTTTCATTAGTTCTTCTTGCTCATTACCTCAGGGCGGTGTTACAAGTCACATGAAACATCTCTCAAATGGGACATTTTTTTAAATACTTATACACACTTATATTTCAATGATTTTGCGCACTTTGCCATCCGAGTTTCTATAATCAACTGGTTTACTAATGCTACATATTAGTATACAGTTAAAATATATCATTGAGGGAGTTAGCGAGATTCCAGTTCCCCAAGGCCAGGACTATTTCCCGAGGCGAAGCCGAGGGAAATAGTCCTGGTCGAGGGGAACTGGAAACTTGTTAACTCTCTCAAAGATAGACTTTTAACTGTTTTATTATACCAATACAAACGTAAGCTTTAGAGGATTCAGATAGCGTGATTTCAAAGCAGGGATTAGCTCACTGAACTAACACACGGGGATTAGTCCATTCACATATCATACCAATGTAAAAGTAAAATTTAGAGGATTACGGATAACCGGGAATTAGCTTTCGTAACAGGGATTAGCTCACTTGACTAACGCACGGGGATTAGTCCATTCATAACGATTTCTAGGGAATTGGTCACATTTAACGATCTAATGATTATATAGGGAAAAATCAGTAGAGGTATAATAATTGTTTATAAAACGCAGCATCCAATTTTGATCCTGCTTTTATAGCCTTTGTAATAAGTTGATGAACAGTTTCCAGTTTGAATCACTGAAGAACAAGACTAAGTCAGGAAGTTAAATTTCATTTAATAAATAAATATATCTCCATTGAATATAAAACATAAAAGTCTTTGTATATAATCCCACATTGATACTGTTACAAACAAAAATAAAAATTACCGTAAATACTCATCTGAAGTAAAACTTTTAGAGAGAACAAATATAATTTAAGCTATCAGCTTTATGTAAAACTCCATATTGTAAATTTTATTTGATCATTTTTTTAAAAACTAGTCAAGCAGTTTATTCCCACGGTGCTAAACTAATGTATCTTTCAATGAAAACAAATGGTATGGAGGAAAGTATACAAACAAAATGAAACGATCACAGAAGCTGAGATGTAAAATTCTGTTAAAGCTCTTTTTTTTGTTCTTGTGAGTTTCTTTATCATTTAGAGGTAGGCCCTGTATAGGGTGTAACAAATATTTGGTAGAGATTTATCAAAGTTTTTCCGATAAACACAACAAGAGTAAGATGGCAATAAATACGAAAAAATTCAGAAAATTTTAAAACCACGAATAAAACAATATACAATACGTAAACCTCACCAAAGTACACTTAGTAAACCATTAACAGTACCTTGTGACACTGCACAATCGGAGACGTGTTCAGTGGGCAACTAAGTACAACAATGCAATATGTTCAAAGTGAAAGTACAAGCAATATGTTCAAAGTGAAAGTACAACAATGCAATGTAAGTTGGAAAGATCAAACAGTAATTGTCTTTGTTTCTGGACACATTAACGCTTAAGCCCGACAAGATTACGAACAGAAAATGAAAGGGGTGGGTCTGTTAATAAAAATAATAATTAAAAAAATGTATATAAACATGGTCAAAATATGGAGACACACTTCACAATGCTATTTTGGATGCTTAATTAAAACTTAGAGATACATTACTTATATTTGTAGCTTTTATAACCATATGTACAAGTGGAAGCTGAGGTTTGGATATTCCTCTTATACCTTTTACCAGGGCTCTCCATTGTCTATAATTGTTTAAGGGCCCCATTCCATATTCACAAAAGGTACCTATTTTTCCCAATTGAATGTGTTAATTTTGCCAATAGTCATTTCTTCCAAAAGTTAAAGAAAATACAGTTATATATATATAATATATATTATGTCTATAAGTAAACAAAATATCCGATATTTCAAAAATATAGCTGGATATATAACTAAACTGGCTAATCATATTCCTCTGTATTGCAAAACAAAAATTTAGTTGATAATAGTAATGTACCGATTAATCGATTATCTATCTAATCGAAATCAAAATATTAGTTAAAAGCAAATAATTCCTATGATTTCTTGATTCATTCTTCTTTGAACCAAATCCTAGATAATAACTTAATAAATACAACGATACAAAATATATCGATTTTGAAAAGTGTACTTTAGAAATTATTCCAGATTGTTTGTTTGTTTGTTTTTTTTTACCAATTTAATCTTCATTCAAAATAAACAAATTTGATACTTGAAATCAATTGATTATTAATCGATTATAGTGCATCCGATTATTCCGATAATGAATTATGGAAAAAATAATCTGATTGCCCATCACTAGTTGATAAAAAAAAAACCCAGAAACCCAATATATCATGATTTTAAAGGTAGTATAAATGGTTTCCCCCAAATTCCCCAATAGGTCGCTATTTTTCCAATCTTTACGGCACCGGCCCCATTCCCAAAAAGTGGTAAGAGAGCCCTGTGTAGTCACATCTTTTAAAACGATATATGGACAAATAAGGAATTTATATACGACTTATATAAGACATATAAATAAATTTCTGAGTATAAATATTACTTGAGATAAAATTATAGACTTTTAGCCTTCTGTTCGATTCTATATTTTTCCCCTCAAAATAAAGATTAAGATTTATTAAGTCAAACCTGCTAGAAACGACTAAAATCAACAAAGTGTAATAATATAATATCTATAATAAATGTACTGAGAGCATCTTATAATTATTTCAGCGAAAATACTCGGTATCGAGACAATAACAGTGAGTTTATGATATTTCATAATCCAATAAGACTGTTTTCGCGTGCAATAAATTTTCGAGATTTCTCGCTTAAGGGTTGTGAATAATTCTAATCGAAAACCAGTCGCGCATTTATCAATATTCATGGCAGTTTTGAAGTAGCAAAACATTTTCCATGGGAGATTTTGAAACCACAGAATATGCAAATAATAAGATGGTTTACTGCTGCAATCGATTGACCCCCCCCCCCCTGAAAAATGGAAAGATGCATTGAAATTCTTTAAATTTTATATTTAAAAAAATTTTGTATCACCTGCATAAACAACAAAAAACAAAACAAAACAAAAAAAACAAACCAAAAACAAAAACAAAAAAAAAAAAAAAAAAAAAAAAAAAAACGAAAAAAAACCCCCAAAAAACAAAACAAAAAAAAACAGGAACTGGTGAAATAGAGAAAAATAGGGGGAATAAAACTATTTTTTCAAATAATTGATAAATGAGAAGTCAAAAAATAATTTTTGTATATGTATATAGAAATGTAAACATATGATGTCCATTGGCTAATTTTCGCTAAAAAGCTAAATAAAGATGTTTACGTTCCTGTACAAACGAATCTTTGGGGACAAAAAAATCAGATGTTAGCTCAATACAGCAACTGTTTACATGAACTTATCAAAAAATAATTTGTGTAAAAGAAAGACTTTATAAAAATGAAAGCAATTTCGATAAAAATACGATTCTAAGTATTCATTTTATATCACATCAATAACTTAACTACTACAAGGGGAAAAACCCAATTTGGCGCACATGGATCACGTGTGGCCTACTGCTTTATTTTTAACCAAAGTATATTTGGTCTGTCAAAGAAGTTTACAGTATATATACTCAATTGTCCAAATGAGGAAATGCGAGAAATTAACGAAGAAATGTTTGAATCCATAGCATCAAAACTTTTTAAAAAAAAAATTCTAAAAAAAATATTTTGATTTTAAAAATGCAGATGAAGCACTGAAACTGATTTAGATTCCATAATGTTATTAAAGCAGTTGAAATGATTAATTGATTAGAGAAGTCTTCAAAATCGTAAATATTTTTGGCTAGTGGTCAAAATACTGGCAATTTAAACTATTTGTCAACCTTAAAGTACAACAATCTTATACAAAGCACCGTCTAAGTAAAGACAATATATCAGACAAAACATTGAAGCACCTTGTAAAGCAGCAATAAGAAATCATATATTGATGACAGAATGCCATTTTTTGGTTACACCCAGCATTTCCTCCCGAGACGTAATAATACTCTGAATAAAGAAACAACTCAAAATGCCCATAATTCCTGCCGTGATCATGTAGGACAGGACAGTTCCGGTCATGTGAACAACATATCCCATCATTCCAGAGAGGATTACCTGGGACAGGAAGTAGGCGGAGTCTAGTGTGGCAATGTCTGTTCCGATCCCCCGGAAGTTGTTCTTCCCACTCTCTGTCCGGAAGTATATCTACCAAAAGGCATCAATTTTATAATTAATGTTTACAAGACATTTAAAATAATTTTTCAAGTAACAGTAGTCAGTAAAATGTTAAAATATTGAAATAATGACTTGAAATTTACCCCCCCCCCCCTTCCAAATCTCATGAGAAAAGGAAATTTAACTCAATTCAACAACAGTTTGTCGGCCTTCATTGCTATAAACATATTTATGGAAGCAAATCATGCGAAAGCACATAAACAACAGGCTTATTTGAAATACTTTAAGGTATGAATTGGATTAAAACAGCAGCTGAGCTTCCATGCGACATATAAAATGTCGTTCAGTTAGGTTTTTCTTTTTCTTGAAACTGAGTGGCAGGCCCGTAGAACACGGGGAGCCCAGGGGGAGCACTTTTTTCGGTTAGTTAATTTTCCTTAAGAAGATGGTGGTTGCCCCCCCCCCCTTTAACCCCTTAATGTTGTAAGGTCGAGCACTGTCATATTCCAGGATTTAGACATGCAGTAAATAAACTTTCTTTTTTGCTTGTCAGATTTTTTTTTTTTGGAAAGTTGCCCCCCCCCCCCGCCCTTTTTAAACCGTTGATACGGGCCTGAGTGGTGCGTGGGCATTTAAAGTTTTTCCATGATAAATATCTTTACTCATCTTTTTTTTTAATCAGAGTTTTTACTTTTACAAACATTAAGGTATAATGCACGTACCTAAACGAGTCCTTTGAAATCTCTGATCTTTTTTTGTCAAAGTAATTATAAACAAGCCTGAGGCATATTAGTACTTGTGTCAGATAGATTATAGTAAAAAATTCGCAAAACTAAATCATTTCCGTAAATCAGTTAAAATAATACATTAGATTTAAAGAAATACATTGCAGATGCACCAACAGAGCTAAGTTTTTAAAAAAAAAAAAAAAAAAAAAAAAAAAAAGAATATATAGCATTTTTTAACTGACCTCTTTTTCTGAGTGGTATTTAGTGACAATAATGAAGGGGATAGTCGTGAGGGTCGCATACGCAAAACCAGTCAGTGCCGCCATAGTGTTCACAAAATAGATGTTCCGGAACATCACCATGCCCGCCATACACAAGGTAAAGGTCATCATCCCTGCAGCGTACGTCCGGCGGATCCCGACACGCTCCACTAAATTTTCAACAAAAAAGGCATAGATAGCGGAAGTGATGCAGTGAAACAGGAGTCCCCAAGACCCCATTCGAACACCCTCGTCATATCGAGCACGCAGATAGGAGTTCTCCTCGGCATTGGGATTCCCTTCGTAAACAGCCTGTCCTACAAAGTCTGTGAAGAAAAGGTTGAATCCCATCACTGCAGTCCAACTGCAGAAGTTCGCTATAGCCAGTTTCTGCAAAACGAGCGGGATATCTAACAGCAGTTTAACGGATTCTGGAAGCTTGTCTTGTATAGCTGCAAAAACTAGTCTGCCATAAAATTGCACGTATGAAAATATTCTAAAGCGTTTTAAAACAAAAATAAACGGCATACACAACAATAAAATAGGACGGAATTTTCTTTTGTGACGACGGGACCTTGATCGGGGCTTGCGGAGCACATTTGGCAAAGCGCCGTCGTCCGAGCCACTCGATTCGTACCCCGACTCCAAAGCCGGGCCACTGAACGCGGCAGGAGAGGACAAACCCTCTAATGGGGTTTTTATATCCGGGATATGAGAATTCTGGAGTGCGATTTGTGGCTCCTCTTTGGCTACAGCTACAGTCACAAACAACAAAAACACAAACAGGAAGACCAACACAGTGAACACAGTCCTTTCTTGACCACCAATCAGAGCACCGATAGGATTCGTATTCCAGTCCAGGGCTGTAATTAAATACCCCAGAAATCCCCCTAGCGACACCATCTGAGAGTACACCATGAAAACACGTTCTTGTTGATTGGTCTCCTTTGATGCATCGCTTAGCAATGCTTCACATGGTGTCAGACAGGCTTGACTAGTGAAATCGAGCAGAACGACCCCTACTGTTAAAATCAGCAGTGCACCTGTTTTACTCACTGTTCCTGGGCCAAATAAGGAAAGACTGATCCAATCGCAGTAAGGTATAATAATAAGAGCAAACATCAGAACTGATGAAATTCCCACTATGAATGGCCGTCTTCGACCCCAAGCACTAAAGCAGTTATCACTCGCGCGGCCTATTATTGGAACGAAGAAAAACCCAAGCAAGGGACCCATTCCTAAAATTATACTCATATTCTCCTCCGTGTAGCCCGCCTTTAACAGCATAGGAGGGATGTAGGTGAATCCAGCGCATGCGCAAATCTCAACGCCACATACCACAGCATTCAGGAGAATTATCTGAAGCAGTGATAATGATTTTCCTGTTGCCATGGTGACAGGTTTTTGGCGGGGATCCGGGTCGTCGTGGTGAATCACTTCCTGTAGTAGGCGCTCGTGGTCTCTGTCATCGTTGTCCGTCACTTCCGGTAGTGCGCTGTACTGCACAGAGGACCTACAACAACAAAGAAATCATTGTTTATTTTGAGGTTTTGAATACCAGCTTAAAATAGTAATAAACGGAAAAGCTCTACAGACAAAGGTTCTGGGCGGCGAATACTTAGGATTTTAACACTGTGCTCAAAAAGTAAGAGCAAGGGCGATCTTGTGTTGCAGCCATCAACATGATCAAACAAAAAACTGATACATTAAAGGCTTTGATGGTTTCTCACTGCAACTCTTTTTGAAATATTTTCTTACATATGAATCGGGGAATAGTAGATAGAAGTCTTTGTTACCCTTCAGTTCTATCATATTAACTACCACCGGTATACAAAGTACACGTAACACGTGTATCCCCCCCCCCCCCCCGCGCGCTTGGAGACTGCAGATTTCTGCACTGAAAATTAGAAAATAGTCTTAGTTTTTTAAATAATCCTTTAAAAAACAATGTATTAGGCAGCATTCGGAATTCAGCTCTTAACCTCCGCAGAAACGTACTTAATTTAAATAAAATAAATTTTAAACATCATGCAATCTATGACAACTGCTCCGTTACTCGAAGAAGCTTCACTAAAAGTTGTATACGTGCAAGTACTATAATGTAGTACTTACTATGAGCTTATTATTGTAGATTACTATATCTGTCTAATCATAATCAAAGTTTGATTATAAAAAGTTGTCGAGTTGTCCAAAAACATCAAAATGTACGTGCTGAAGAAAAAATTGTATTAATTGTTGACAACTGTTACTAAAGTATACCTTTTCTTCGTTCTTTTCACGTCTGAACATTTTACAGGAAATTTTGTTTCTCAAATGTCAACCTCCCCAACGACAAATATGAACGTTTAACGTTTAAATTTACTATTAGAACTTGGCTATGGTAAAAATGCCAAGGACTTGCAATTTCTTATTTAAATGACAGTTGTATCACAGAAACCTGCATATTGTAAATTCGTACATTAGATTCCCCTTCATGTGCCTCATTTTGTTAATTAGCAAAGCTAAAATGAGCACTTAATTGTCACGTGTTCTTCCTGACTGACGGGCATTTTATTTTAAGAAAATATTCATGACGAATTTAATGCACATTTTTAACAGAATCTATCAAGTCTAAAAATTCTTTAATTAAAAAAATTACAAGCATGTGTTCACGAATTCTTCACACGTAGCTCATACAAACGGAATATACTCAATGGTATACGTGTACTAGAGTGTGTTGAGAGAGAGAGAGAGAGAGAGAGAGAGAGAGAGAGAGAGAGAGAGAGAGAAATTATTTAAAAAATAAAACCATATTACATAAAATCGCGTTCCAAAATGGTTTGTATCGTTTTGAAATTTGAGCAGTTGTAAAAAATTAGCACTGACAGCATTGAGTACAGTCCGTCAATTTTAATTTTCGACTCATTGTAGTTAATCAAGTGATTCATTAAAAACATACCGACTAAAATAAATAGTAAAACGCATGTTGTAAAATTAAAATCATAATTTTTTTTTAGGTAATTAATCCACAGTTAAAAAAATGAGATGTGTGTGAATTAAATATGTAAGAAGAAATTATCAGGTTTATACAAGTTCATAATGTAACGTGTTCACATTTACATATTACACCTTCAGAATATAACAATACCGGTAATGAATAACCAGCAGCGATCATGCTTAGAAGTCCAATTAATTGAGGATCAATCCATTATTTCCTATATTTGGGAGATGAAGAAAATCTTTACCTGTATTTTAGAGCGATATCGTTATATTCCATTATTTTAACTCTAGCCCCCGTACTGACGGACCGAGGACGGTGCCACGAGCGTCACTTACAGTAAAGTGAGAGCTCTACACAGACAAGCAATTGTCAGACGGGACTCCCATTACAATAATACTGAATTAATATCGGGGGCCTCAAACAGGTGTCACTAATTAATTCCAAAGCTCAATTTCTCTAAGTCACTGTCTTACTCATAAATCCAGGCATTTCATGCTAATGGTGTAGAATTTCATTGATGTCATTTATATTTAAAAGCCATTAATTTTGATTTCAGGTATGCAATAAATCTTGAAATACAGGTATGTCTACTTTGTAAGACAGGAAAAGTAAAAGTCTCATACTATAGTGTTATCGTCTAAGTTTTCGGAACTATGGAGCTACAGCAGTTTGTCAGAGGGTTTTATTCGTGACTTTATGATGAGCTATCAATAATCATAAATATTTAGTAACATACATCAACAACAGAGATGAATCACATACACACATCAGCTAAAAATCTAAAAATGATCTTTTGTGATATTGTATAGACATTGTGTTTAAATGTTTAGAAATGATCACCTCCTATATCCAATGCTTATATAGCTCATCTGACAGGGTTATATTTTCTTTATGGCATTTTTTTAAATAACCTTTTCTAGTTCAACTCATTAAATAATTTTCACTCTAAATAATAATGTATTAAACGTATCAGGAAAAAAGTTTTTTTTAATCTTCTCCATAATAAAAAAAAATCTCTTGATAAAAACAATTGTTTTTTTTTTTAAGGATAAACAAATTAAACTTCTGTAAGATATATCTTTTAAAACTGTAAATACCTGATTTGATTCAGCAGTATCTTCACGAATTTTACTCTAATGTTGAGTGACTAACTTAAATATGTAATTATAATGATGTGAAAAAAATGTTGACTTCATCAATATCACATTGGATTAAAGGTTTGTGTAGACCCCATTGCTAAAATCAATGACAACTTTTGTAATGTGCAACATCTTGAGATGAACTGATTTAAGTTCTACAGCTGTTCAGTCAATAAGTTGTTTGTGTCTTATAATTTATCTTAGTTTACCTTTATACTGAACAGTCTGCTCAATACACAACACATGCTTTTTTAAATATTGGCTTGCACATCAATAAATGAAAAAAATGAAAATGTGTCCCCCCTTATATTGTAGATTGTGAATATCTGCTTTGCTGTTTGCCTACACCCCCCCCCCCCCCTTTATTGTAGATTGTGAAATATTGTCCTTGCTGTTTGCTTATCTACCTACAAAGATCCACCACACAAACTTCTAAATTCCCATTAAACAAGTGCCAACAAATTGTTCATCATAAAACAATTCATCTCCAGTTATCTTATACATGTACATTAAGAAAATTTCCATGAGAGAGTTCACCAGAATTACTTGTAATTAGCCATACCTTATAGGAACATTGATGCTCCTAGTTAGTGCCTTGTGAAAATGTTTCATTTCCAGAAATATTTGTACATGATACAGACAGGCAAACTCTCATCATTTAAATCCAACAAGTGATTAACAAGTTAATAGCTATTGTTTAAAGTACAGTTTATCAGTATTAAATATAACAAAACACTTGTATCACGAGTCCTAAACATTGTTATTAACAGGGACAACTGACTCAACTCCTCAGTAAAATTGGCATTGCTTTAGCCTTTCCTACACATTGAAATTATTCATCATTAATACTCAATTCTGAAATCCAGAAAAGTAAAATATTCTGTGCTAGATGCTGGCATGAGTTTCATTTCAGTTACTCAAGATTTTTATTACTCCTCAGATTTGAGACAATCAAACTGTACTACCGTATTCTCCCTATTAAACACCCATGCCCCTATAAAGGTCCCCTTTATAACCTTATCATATTATCCAAACCTAGAGGTCCTATCTTCAAAATTACACTGTAATAAAAAATCAGAATAAAAATGACCATGTCATCAGTCTGTGAGCCTGGATAGAGTCAGATGTACACAATCCAAAACATTATGTCTTGTCAGAAATCTTTTAATGGAACATCGTGGGAACATACAGGTTTTCTCTCCGTTACTACATTCAACGTAGTGTAACGAAGAAAAAACCTGTGGGTTCCTATGATGTTAATGGAAGAGCCAGAGCATAAAAAAGTTCATAGAAAAGATTTCTTTATAAATATAAAATAACTGCCCCTTTGAGTAATTTTCTAAGTGCCAGGGGCACTTCATACGGAGAATACAGTTTAAATAATTCAAAATAAACACATATATTGAGGTAATTTTCTGTAAAAAGAAATGATTAAATGTATTGCCCAAAGTTATATTCTGAATAAACTTGAATACAAGAAAAAAAAAAACAACAACAACAACAAACAAAACAAAAAAAAACCCCAAGACATATAATCACTGATAGTATGCTACATAGTTATTTTTCTTAGATTAATTAGATTTATATATGTTACAGTAATTATGTTTAAACAGAAATTTCGTGTATTTCCTGAACCGTTCAGTAAATACATGTATTTACTCGCTGTTTTAGGAAATACAAGTAATTACTGACAAGGAATTACATGTATTTACTGGAAATCTTAACGAGTTTTAGATGTTTCTACTGATCCTTAGTTGTAAAATGATAAACCTTGTAAAACCATAAGTGTACTAATCTATAAATTGAATACAATTTAAAATCATACAAGATTAAGTTTTATTTTAAAAAAAGATTAAGTTTTATTTGAAAAAGAGATTAAGTTTTATTTAAAAAAAATAATATGTTACAATTTTTTTAAACGGTTCTTTATGCTTCAAGGGACTTGCAAATTCAGCCATTCGTTTCAACTTTCAAGAATAGAAAACTTTGTTTACTGATGTTAGTGATTCATAATAAATCGATAATTCCCGTCTGACATACTCAAAACGATCAACGTTCAAAACGATCAACGCTCAAAACGGCATGTCAAAACGATCAACATGCACTCAACATGCTCTCTAGAATTGAACATTTTCTGCAAAATTGGTTGCACAACATTTCTGTTACAAGGATTTTTATTTTTGGAAGTTGACATTATTCACACATAAATTGAATAACTTGTTAGCATTGACAGTAATATTAGAATATTTTCTGCTAAGTTCTTTTAGCATTTTATCCCTTCCTGCATGATCCTGAGAATAATGTTATTTTCAATGATGTTAAAAGTTTCGTCAATGGAAAAAAAATATTTAACTGAATCTTCCTCCGATTTCCTTTTCTTTATTAATTTTTCATAATCTTCAATTTTTTAAAATACTTCAAATCTATAAACAGATTAAAGTGATGAAATATGGAGATAATGAACAATAATCAAGGCTCAAAATACAAATTTATATCAGAGCAAACACTGACATCTAAAAACATCAGGCCTGGAGGTTATAAAACTTTCTGAGTATGTACTCAGTGCTCAAACTCAAACTCTGTACTCCAAAACCATACTCATGCTCAAAATTCCTCTATAATTTATAGATAAATTTTGAAGAAGAGTTTGAGTTTGAGCACGTACTCAGAAAGTTTTATAACCAGGCCAGAGGTGGAATCAAGTAAACTTGTGAATCTGTAAAAGTTTTTCTTAGCATATGCACCTGAAATCTGCACATGTACTTTCTTTATTATGTTTTCCATCCTCCTATAACAAGTTTAGATCACAATGATAGCAAACTTCTTATACGGTGATCATTTATTTATGAGCAAATCTAGTACTCTCTGTCTTACAGAATTTTACTTATTCATATATAATGTTAACAAAGCAGACAGTACTCTATCATTATATACAAAATTACTGTCAATTATTTTAAAAAATCAAACACATGTGTACCTTGAAAATAGAAAATATTCATGGATCTCTTGTCTTTTTTGGATTCTGTTCAGTTTAGTGCATTTAGTCTTTCTTAACTCCATTTAACTTTTCTTTTGGTGATAAGAGCTTGTCTTACTTAAAATCCCCTCCTTTTCATCAACCATTTTAAATGGGAAGTGAATCAACCAAAGATCTGTAGGTTCTTTTTTTATTTTACATGTACACTGTACAACAACCTATTGAACTCTGCTCATCAATAATGACGATTCATGCATATAAATTATTTCACTAAAACACTGTCAGTAAATACGTGAAAAAAGTATTGAAAAAATAAGTAAAAAAGTGTATTTCCTAACTGATAACAGTAAATACATGTATTTCCTAAGCAGGTTAGGAATTTAACGCATTTCCTAAAATTCAGGAAAGACACGAAATTTCTGATTACATATATTTACTGTAATATATACATACTTTCATCACTTAAAAAAATAAGTCTCTGGCAAACCTGTAGCTCTACTATAGCTAGACTTAAAATGGGTGCTTTAAAATGATGCTTTGGATCAGCAGTACCCGTTACAAAAAATTGTAAATAACAATGAAATTTAAATTTCAGTGTGTGTGTGGCACAGTGTCATGAGCTCACAAACATGTGATATAAATGCTAGTTATCAAAACCCTGCCCCTTCCCCTCAAAATTCAAAAGATAACAAGTTAAATTAACAATCCAAAGTATTTTTGCAAAGTAGGTCAAAGGTCAAGTAGACTGTAATACTGGTATTTTTCTTTATATCTTATGATAAACAGTGACATGCTAATAGCATAAACTTAGCTTTTAAATGTTAAAAATATCCTGTTTATCGGCACTATGAACTATTTTTCAAAAGTAGGTGAAAGGTCAAGTACAAGGGTCATGAGGTCAGTAACCATATTTAACAAAAGCTACGGTGCCAAGCAATATATGTCCAAAAAATCAAATTTATACATATCAGGCTATCAAGTTCTTAGGATATGAGGTGTGACAGACGGACAGACGGATGCTAGGTAAAGTTGCTCTGCTCTGCAGGCAACTTAAAAAAAAAATACAACTGTTGGGAAACGCAGTGTGTTTAAAACTATAATATCATACAAAGGGACTGCCTCGTGACAGGATGTAATGCATTTATCTGTTTTACAATTTACATGGTTAAAGGTCAAGGACAAAAATCTGGGGGTAGTTTAATAAAGCAGAAACTTACTTTGTTCTATCTGCAGGGAC